GCCGAACCCGCTGGATGAGCTCCCACCCAGTCCATTTGTGCTAGACGCCTTCAAGCGTGAGTACAGCAACACGGACACACGCACAGTCGCGGCGCCGTACTTCTTCCAGCACTACGACCCCGCCGGCTACACGACGTTCTGGTGCCGCTACAAGTACAACGAGGACAACAAGATGCAGTTCATGACGGCGAACCTCATCCGCGGGTGGTTCCAGCGCATGGAGCACACACGCAAGTACGCCTTCGGTGTGGCGCTCATCATTGGTGAGGAGAAGAAGCACGACATTGTGGGCATGTGGGTGTTCCGCGGCAAGGGCATGCCCGAGATTGTGCGCGAGGTGGAGGACACGGAGCTGTTCGACTGGGAGGAGATCCCCGACGTGACGGCGCAGCGGGAGCGCATCACGGACTACCTGTGCTGGGAGGGCCCAACGATCCCGAAGCCGGTGCTGGAGGGACGCGTGTTCAAGTAAGCGTGACTGGTCCTGCTTCTGATACTGCTACTGTGGCAACACAGGAGACGACAACAGAGGAGGCCAATCGTCACTGTTAGGAAAAAGAAAAAACAATAATAATAAGTATAAACAAAGAGGCAACATGTGTGAGGATGAGTGTGTGTGTGTTGCTGGTGATTTTCTTTTTTGCATAAAGAATGAGTTTTTTTTGCATTTATACTGTTTTCTTTTTTTTTTTTCTTTGTGTTTGTGTGGGTGTGGACGAGGTGTGTGTGGGTGGGTGGGTGCCTTGTGTGTGGTCTGTGCCCTCGAAATACCACTAAGGTTGATTGGATGTGCTGTGTGTTTTGCATCTCTCTGCTAGTGTCGCGGTATCTGACGGCGCCGACCAGGATATGCGGGGAGTAGTATTATTGTGCCCTCCTGACCCCCCTGTTGTTTTCTTTTGACAGGAAGGATGTTCAAAGCCACCATGGTGGTGCGATGCGTCTGACTGGCGTCCACTGCGTGGATCGGGTGAGCATCACGCACAGTTGCACATGGGATGGGTTGCGAGATCGGGGATGATGCACCGCCCCGCATTACTTCAGCGACCACTACTAACACTACTGATATTATTGTTGTTGTTGCTGTGGATTGTGGTGTGCAGAGGGTTTTCACCTGCGTGGCGTGTGGGTGTGGAGTCGACGGTTGCTTCTTGCACTGCAGTGACTGGGTGGATGTGCCCAGGAAAAGTGTGTACCGCACTTGGGGAGTGGGGTGAGGCAGCAGTATTGTGGCCTTGTATGTTCTGCTGCCATTGAGACTTGGTGAGGATGTCGAGTGTTCTTTTCCCGACACTGCTTGTGTCGGTGATGGTCAACATAACATTATGTTGTGCCCAACACGTCTGTTTCCGCCTTTTTTTCAATCTATTGTCTACTCTTCTTTTTTCTCATTTCTGCTTTCTATTTTTGACACAGCTATACACAAACAAACCTACACACACACTCTTGCGAGTAAGCATTCAAGAAGATTCACATGCGTCGTCTGTTGTGCACTGCGCTGTTATTGCTGTGTTGTGCCTACGGGTGCATTGCAGCTGTTGTGCAGCCGCTACCACAGACAGGACAGGGTCCCTGGGATACGTACACCGTTGCTGTTACTGGTGAGCCTGATCTCGAGAAAAAAAAAGAATTTAAACCTATTCGTTTTGCCGTTTCTGCAAAAGAAATTGATAGGGTCTTGGCGTACTGTAATCGGTATGAAGAGTATGCTTTGGATGAAGTGCAAGATGAGATTCTGTATGGATTTAAACTTGATGTTTCGAAACACTGGGATGATTTTTGCGAGAAGGTAGAAAACGAGGTAACACCTGAAAAGAAAAAAAAGCTTTTGAGAGAAGTTCTTCCTGCTGCTCTCAAGCTACACAGTGAACGTCTGAGTGTTAAGCATGAGGATAAGTTGGCGTTAACTTCTGAGAATAAGGATTCGTATCCAGTTTTGCCTAATTGCTCAGGTGTCTCAATTCCCAAGGAGCATTTAAGTGGTATATCCGATGCTGATTTTATGCTGTATGTGGGTCTGACAGATGAGTATGTACCCGTGCAGATCTGCAGTAAGAATGCAGAGGGTCGTCCTACATCTGCCTTGATTAAATTCGTGCCAAAGGAAATTGCTGTAACAAGGCATTTCATTCGCTTTACTGCACATGAGGTTGCACATGCTCTTGGATTTGAAACTGAAACAATGATGAAGCATGGTGTTATTGAGGAAAACCCGGGAGGCGATAAGAAAGTCCCTTTGGTGAAATCTACCACTGTGATTAAGGAAATGAAAGAACACTATGGTTGTTCTGATGATAAGTGTGATGATGAAATAAAGAAAGTGGCTTTTGAGAATGAACCCAGTAAAGATGCACCGTTACACTGGGAACGTCGTATTGCGAAGGATGAGTTAATGAGTACATATACCCCTGACCTTGACGTTACTGGAGCGTACTACACATCACTAACACTCGCTGTATTCGATTCTATGCCATTCTACAAGGCAAGTTTTGACATGGCGGAAAATATGAGTTGGGGCAAAGATGCTGGTTGTGATTTTCTGAAGGGTGGGGACGAAAAGAAAGACGAAATAATACAGAAACACAATGAAATGTTCTGCAAAAGAAGTGAGTTGATTTTGGAATGCACATCTGACCGTTTTGCACTTGGGAGGTGCACAAAAGACATAGAGCTGAAGGGTTCACCCTTTGAGTATGCGTACTTCAACCATTTTTTTTTCACCGAAACTGATGAGCGTGAACTGATGGATGGTTATCCATTTATCAAACCAATTGATTGGACGAATTGTGAGAATGGAAGGGTCAATCTGATGCCTGGAAGTTTTGTGGGGAGTGAATCACGATGTCTGAAAGGTGAGAACCTCGAACTTAAAGAAGAAAGGGAAGAGAAGGTAACCGTTCGTGGTATTTGTGCTGATGTGAAGTGTGACGATGGTAAAGTTAAGGTGAAGTACAATGGGAGTGAAATTTGGCATATTTGTACTGATGATGAGAAGATTAATGTCGAGAACAGCCCAGATTTAAAGAGCGGTGGAAGCATCTTTTGCCCCAAGTACTCTGAAGTTTGTAATGAGAAGAAAAACAACGCCACTGAATTCCCCATTGTGTACGATAAAGATGAGCGAGAGAGAATGGATAAAGAAGATAAGGAAGAAGAGGAAAAGCAACGCAAAGAAGCGGATCGGAAAAAGAAAGAAGAAGAAGAAGAACGTGGAAGAGCAGAAGAACTGTTATCGCCTCTGGGGAGCGCAGCTAGAGCTGTTGAAGAAAATGTTGAATCACCTGTTCGTCCTGCACCACGTGCTGAGAATGGAGCTCAGGACAGCAGCGGTAGCAAAAGTGGCGCACTTCCACATAAAGAGCCGCTTGTGATGGAAGAAGAGAAAAAACAGAAAGTTGAACAGCAGGGACAACAGTCTCCCCGCCTACAATCTATTCCGAAAGAAGAACCTTCAGCAAGGTCTGATGTACTACCGAAGAATGAAAAGGATAGTCATGAAACATCAAAGGTCCGAAACCAAAGCGGTGCCCCTGGAGTGAATGAACAGGATGTTGCTACAAATGTACGTCCCTCATCAGTTGTCAACGAGAAGAATCCAGTGCAAATCAGTAGCAGCAACAATGACAACGAAGTTTCACAGCAACAACCGCCTGGGGTGGCACAAAAGAATCCTAGTGACTCCAAGACGCCTGAAGTGGAAAAAATGCCCGACTCTAAGATCACTATACCTGCACCTTATGGGCCCAGCTTTGAGGCCCCCAAGCCTGTCGTACCTGAATCCACTGTTGTTACTGTGGAACCTACTCCTTCAATCAAGGAGGATAAGAAGAATAATACAGCGGAAAACACTAAACAAGTGCATGGAACATCATCACAGTCTACCTCCCAAGGTGGGAAGAATGATGAAAGAAATACCACAGTTGATCCAACTCATCATCCAAACAGTACTTCCCCCGATAACGAGAAGAACAATGAAACCATTGTGAATACTGACAACAAAACAACAACGAGTACTGATCCAGTTGAGAATGCTCAAACTGAAACCTCAGTCACTGGAACACCTTCCCCTACAGATTCAAATAATACCGATGGCCATAATATTAACAGCATCAGTGCAACTTCTCCAGTGAATGAAAAAACAGCAGCTGCTGATCCTGCCACTTTGACGGGACTAAACACTCAGATGGGACAAGTAATGAACCACACGAATGCCTTTGCTGTTGTGGGTGCTGACAGCAGTATTGCCACTTCATACCAAATCACTCTTTTACTTCTTTTGTGTGCTCTGGTGGCTCTAGCATCCCCATGAATCCCATCTGTGTGCACACATACATACACATATACACGTATCTCTAATAATAATAAACATTCTTGCTTATTACGGCCTTTTTTGACTGTGCACGCATATCCGTGAATAATACGGCCAATTGGGCGTTTTTTTTTTTACATTATTGGCTGTGTTATTCGCAGCATTCGAAAACAAAAATTCTCGTAATTGTTAATGGTATATGGAGTTTATTTTACTATGTCTTTTTTGCACTAAAATAGTTTATAAATGTTTTTTTGTGCTTTTTTTTTCTTTTCTAGTCTGGTTTCCCCACTGTTTGTTGATGTCTGTGTGAACGTAATGGTAGGACTGAACATCATTAAACAGTGTATATGGACACAGATACTTGGGTTTTAAAATACTGAATTACTTCTTTTTTTATTGGGATTTCTTTGGTAAATGAGTGTGTGCTCTCAAGAAAGAAGATTCACATTTCTGCAGTTAATGCAGCATGGTTGTTTTCTTTTCTTTATCTCTCTCTTTCCCTTTGTACGTGATGACCAACATGACGTTATATTGCACTGAGCATATCTGTTTCTCTTTTTTTTTCTCTCATTTCTGCTTTCTATTTTTGACACAGCTATACACAAACAAACCCAACACACTCTTTTGCGAGTAAGCATTCAAGAAGATCCACATGCGTCGTCTGTTGTGCACTGCGCTGTTCTTGCTGTGTTGTGCCTACGGGTGCATTGCAGCTGTTGTGCAGCCGCTACCACAGACAGGACAGGGTCCTTGGGATACGTACACCGTTGCTGTTACTGATGATGGTCTACCTAAGAAGGGTCAAGAGAATTGGCAACCCATTCGCATTGCTGTTTCCTCACATGGTGTTGCTTGGACCGTGAACCACTGTCTCTACAAAAAAGTCGGTGCACGTTGGAGCTACGGCTATAACAACCCACATTTTGACAAGGTTGTCTGTTATCGACGTGATGGAATAACTGTCGAGAAAGCCAATCTTTTCTTGAATAAGATTCTCCCTGCTGCCATCAGCTTACATACTGAACGTCTTAAGGTCAAGCGTGTGAGTGGTAATTTAAGGATTTCAGGATCTACAGACGTTTTTTTGGGCACCTTCTGCAAAGGGGCTGGAATCCCCGCTGCACACCTCGATCAAGGTATTCCGGATGCTGATTTTGTGCTGTACGTGGGTCTTGCGATCTATAAACCAGCTACAACGGTGTGCTCTTACAATGCCGAGAAACGCCCGACATCTGCTAGTATCAAGTTCAGACCGAGAGACATCGCTGATACGAGGCATTTCACTCGCATTGTTGCACACGAAATTGGACATGGGCTTGGATTCAACAGTAGAGTGATCGGTTCTAGGGAAATGCTAACGATTGTAACAGACGGCAATTACGGCGTGCAATATGAGGTCAGGAGAACTTTAATGGTGGAAAAGGTGCGGGAGCACTATGATTGCCCTACTGCTACTGGCATGAAGCTGGAAAAAGATGCACAACATTATTATTACCCTCACTTTGATCGGCGTATTGCGAAGGACGAGCTGATGAGTCCGTACAGCGGCAGCAGCAATGGAATGTTCTACACCGCACTGACACTTGCTGCATTTGAGTCTACAGGGCACTACAAGGCAGTTTTCAGTAAGGCTGAAAATATGAGTTGGGGACGGAATGCTGGCTGTGATTTCCTTAAGAAGAAGTGCCGAGACGACGAGCTCTCTAAATACAAAGACATGTTCTGCGATATTAAATCAACGGAACCGCTGCAGTGCACATCGGATCGCTTTGCTCTTGGAAAATGCAGTAAAACGTGGAAATCGGATGCCTTGAAGTGGCAGCACTGTCTGTTCAATCAAAGAGATGGACCGAAAATGGCAGAGCTGGATGATGAGTGTCCCATTATCAAACCGCTTGTACGTACTTCTTGTGAGAGTGGCGATGTAACAGTTATGCCTGGAAGTATTGTGAGCAACATCTCTCGATGTCTATCACGTGTAAAACTGTTTGCGAGCAATAAAGTAAGACCCATCGGTGGCATTTGTGCT